TATCTTTGAAGTTTGGTGGCTCTTGCGAAAATTTTGGTGGGTCAAAAAAATCGTTCGCACTGAAAATGGTTTCGCGTTGACAAATTATTTTGCTGAAACAAAGAAAATTTCGTGTAGTGCGAACAGGCCCTGACCACGACGGCAACGGTGACGAGGACGTGGCAAAACAAATTTAAAAGATCCAACGGGCAGAAAATAGCTTAGCGAGTCCCTTTGAAAACTTTGTACATTTCGCGGCTGTCCTCCCTTAAAAACAACTTTTGATTTGCGTGGTCTGTGAACCAAAAGCCCAAGGGCAAAATTAGCTAAGTTTTCATTGTGGCTCACATGTGTTGTGCTGAAGTTGAAGTAAAGCGCAGCAAGAAACATTAAACAAATCCAGCCATGCGAGAAATTTTAACGAAGGGCCTACAGCCCAGCGAGAAAACTGTTCACAATACGTGAAATTTTGTTTGTATTGCGAGAAAACATCTCAACGCGAAACATATTCATTTTCCCAACAAAACCAGAAGTTATTGTTGACCAGCCACAATCAGGTTTTGCATGGCAAGAAACAGCAAAGAAGGACGATGAAAACATTTTGCATTTTGCATTTTGCCTTTTAATTTGCGATCAGTCCATGACCAGAAACGACATGAAAGAAAACGCACTGTCACGAAATCCCTATACCTATTTCGATTGATTTACATTTGTGGTTACACAAATAATTCGCACGTCTCAGGAGCGAGCGCTATTACGAAAACAAATAATCCGCCGTTTCAAAATTTTCAATTTTTTTGCAAATACACAACCAATTTTTCTCGGTCTAGTGCGAAAAGGGCCTTAGACACAATTTCTGTTATCACCAACACTTCACAACCACGGATAGTTTGTCGCGACTTGACAAATTTTAGCCGAAGCGGACAAATTTTCAAACGCACCGCCGAAAAAAATTTTTTCCAGGGTAAAACCTTGAGAAAATCGACTAAACAATCAAAACCGTGATAAACTTGTCCACCATTACCAGTGCGGTAACTGAACTGAGTTTAGTTTAGGTGGTAATTTTGGCTGTTAACCGAATTTTAGCAGCTTCGATATTTTAGTGCGGGTGCAACAGAGGAGACAAAAATTTGACCTTTGATTTTGTCGGGACTATTATAAGTTTCCCTGCTACTGTGGTAGGCCCTAAATACTGAAATAAATCGATTTTTACTCGACATCTTTCGTAGCGTTGCCGACTGCTAAGGGTCTCTAAATGCCCGTATAAACGGTTTCACATTTGACCAATATTCGTTCGACAAAAGTTGAACGGATGTTGGGCAAAATTAATGTTGAACGCAAAAATAAAATTGAGCGGCGGCGTTTTACAAAGCCGTACGCTGTACAAAGGTCTTACAGAGGCCTTACAAAGGAAAAGTTAAATCGATGTTGAATGAAAGTTTAAACCGATTTAAACTTGATTCAACACGCTTTCAACAGCATTCAACATTTTTTACGTTTTTAACAATGTTGAAAAAACGCACCGAAAATAAGGTTAAAAAAATTGTTGAATTCATGCTGAAGTAAATGTTAAAATCTTTTAAACGGGCCTTAATACAGAATAGCTGTCTGCAAACTTCTTAAGTATAAATTCAAACTCATTCAGTACAATTTCTAACTCATTCAGTAGGTCTGTGTACTGAATAAGTTTGTTTTTGATGAGCTGTCACAATACGGATTGATGATTGGACAGTTTTTACTTTTTGAGTGTGATAAGCATACTCAACAAGTTAAAAGTCAGCTGATTGGCTAATTTTGTACTAGTTGGTTCATTCCAGAATCTTTTTTGGCATTCCAAAAAGGTTTTAGCCTGTGTTAATAACACCTTTATTTATAGACACGATAATGTTTAAAGCTGAACAGCTTGTGGGGTCGTGTGTAAATCAAAATAAACTCTAAATGAAATAAATTCAAATGATGATGGTTTTTGAGGAGAGGGGAAACCGGAGTACCCGGAGAAAAACCTCTTGGAGCAGAGTAGAGAACCAACAAACTCAATCCACTTATATTACATTTCGAAACTCACTTGCCGTTTTTCCAAAACATGAAAATGGTTCCTGGCACTGTGTAAAATATTAGCACATTCAAGGCAGAAGTACTGCTTGCGGCTACCATATTGACATCGCAGTCTTGCTGGTTCTTGGAGTCAGTAAACACATGTTGTGTCAGTCGGAAAGCAGCATTCCTCCTCATAAGAATCAAAGAACTGTCTTCTTATGTTGTCCCATTTCTCGATGTTGGCGATGTGTCATTTCTCGTACGATGATAGACCAGAACCGCTCTCACTAAACTCCTCAAACGAGAAAGGTTCGACGATCTCAGGTTGTTCAATTTCAAATGAACCGGTTCGCGGGGTACGAAGCGCGGATTCCGCCGTCAGCGAAAAAGTTTCCCTCGATTTCTTTCCACTTTTGTCTACAAAAGTAGCGTCGAAAGAAAACAGCTTAAGCTGCTTTCTGATCATTAGAAATTATGTAAGTTATACGGTCCATACGACCTGGTATACCACATAAAACACCAACTAAATGGCTACTATTAAAAAAGCCACCATCGCTGAGGCACACGCTGCATAAAACATAGGAGGAATAGCTCTTGTTGATAGAACGACCGAAATGAAATCTGGGAATGTTTCACAACGAGAATGCTAAGAATGTTGAGCCCAGCAAAGGCAATTTCTTTCTCCTGCCTGAGCCCATTTCCTCCAAGTGAACTGGGTGATGGTTAACACAGTCCCCATGTTACTGCTACCCACTCCCTAGTCAATTAATTCCATTGAATTACGCCCAAACTGTCTGTTTAAAAACATCGAAGGGCTTACTGACCAAGCTAAGCTGTTCGGTCAAATCACAACACATCACAGTAATATCTAACAATGTCATTTATTAAGCATAAATATGAACGTTAGCATCTTAGCTTAACAAATAGATTCCATATGCGTCTGTTCAGTGGTAGATTACAGATAATGTCAAAATGAGGTAAAAACAAAGAAGTGGTACACGATATGCGGGAAAGCGTGCCACTATGTTGTCGCTTTTGCAGTTATAATTACGGCCATGTTACCAGGATACACGACAGTACACTAAGCAAGGCACTACTGCTGAAAATTGGCTGTGAACCCTCCGGATAAAAAAGCACCCCAATCTGCAAACGTGATTATTGATTAGTGTATCGACAAGTTACTTTAGAGTGAGAAATAGGTATGAAGGAAAAGAAGCAGCAAAGTAGACTTTTTCCACAAAAGATTATGTCCAGCCCGCATCGGGACTAGGCATTTGTAAGTTAAGACTTAAAGCAGCGGAGCTGCGCAGAGAGCACTCACCTTTCTCATTGTTAAAAGAACCAGGATTGTCAAGTTTTACTTATTGGCACCAAAACCCGAAACATTGATCGAGAAAAGAAGTAAAAAGTATGGAAGCATCATTAATTAACGAATTTAGACAAAATGATAATGGCATTAATAGTAATGATAGTAATAATGACGATAGTAAAATTAGTAATAAATACTAAATATAATAGAGAAACCGTTAAAAGCAACCTTAAAGCCGCCTGATACTTTGTAATAATCAGTTTAAAAATTATAGCAAAAACTTTTGTACTTTTATCTCTAAGCCAGTCAAAAGTGTGTTTATATTGGAACTCGAACTCTCTGATTGATCAAAATCGGAAAAAAAAATGCGGGCCTAAAGGTGGACACTTTTATATAACAACCTCAAAGTCAATGTAAGTACTTATAATGACCTATCAGCCGGTTAGAAACTGCCGGTATAGTATTGGGGTGGGCAAGTGCTTGACGAGTGGGTCGAAACAGAGTTCTTAAGAACCTGAAGTTCGCTAATCTACAGCCAGGCGTTTGCCAGAGTTTAGAGTGCAGGGAACTAAAGAGAAGTTTCCATTTATTGAAGCATTCATTGAACTTTGGTGATGATTGAAGAAAGTAACAGATTCTACATGTTTCTGGTAATCACCTTAGCAGCGAATAACGCCTCAAGTCAGACCTCACTACTCACCTATCCTTAGGCGCCCAAACTGACAGATATTTTACAACATTAGCATTTTGAAACAAACCACGACGCCCGATAAATATGCGTAACGCAGGACAAAGTGAAGTCGCTTTTTAGTGAATCATTCATTAGTCTATGGGCAGGCTGATGGAGTTCAGTGCAATTGGCATACACTTTGTCAAATTTAAGCATGAAGAGATTACGCTTTCCTTCGGTAGGAAGCTTTCCTATGGCTTACAATGATTCTGGACGAGGCTTTACGTCGTCTCTTTACCTAAGATGAGGTGATCTATGACACCATGATCTTTCAGTTCCTTCATTTAAATGATTTTAATCGATTACGAATAACAATGGTTTTTTGTTTTCCTGCAAAGTTTAGCACTGGTCTTTGAAATCTAAAGAATGGTTAGAATGGTGATCTAAAAACGCGAGAGCAGGGTCTTAACCTGGATTTCATAAATGCATGTAAATTAAACTAAACTTGATGGCCTTGGAGAACTGTGAGCCCCGAAGAACAGTAACATTTCCCTCGTTTAAAGAACAGATGCGAGGGGGAGACAATTACTTACCATGGCCAGCGGCATAAGAACAATTGAAATATGATTAAAGCGCCCCGCTACCGTCTTTTATCCCTTGATCTGTAAATTACTTTCTTCCCAGCTACCGAGGAAGTAAAAGTATTAAGGCAAAATGGACTTATCTGCTGTTACGACCCTTTATTTTTCATTTCATAATTAGTATAGCCATATTACCAGGTCTTTTTTTGAATGCACGACAAGGCGCTTTTGTACACTCTTAATAAATTTGCTACCTGAACAATTAAATATTACCTATTGCTATGTAAATTTTTTCTAGCAATACAAAAGCAAAATTTTAAATGAAGAAAGGGGAACCTGAAGACGTAAATTAGCTTTAGTTATGGTCTGTGCACATAGTAAGTACATCTCCATGGTCTGCTGCAGCGGATTCGTACGGTAAAACATAGGTGTAGCTGTCGGGTGCATATTTCTTTTCTGGAGCTGTACATTCTCTCTAGGAATTCGTTAAACATGGCATCGGGCAAAACAAAAACCCTCGATGAAATCAACGATCTATTTTCTATGTTTCAAGCAATGACGGCCCTCGGAATTTCATTCGAAGGTTTGACGACGCTGGAGCAGATGAAAGAAAGGATTAGGACTGAAATGAATCAGTCTTTAAATGTTCCCAATTGGAAGGCCGGAAAGGTAAGTTTTAATGAAGTCTTTAAAGGTATATAGCTATTTATATATATATATTGTGGGAGGAAAAAGACAAGTAAACTACAAGTTCATCCCTACAAGCCTGTTTCGTGGTCGCCCCATATTATATTTACATTCTTTAATTGTGATGCGAGGAGTGTCACTTGGCAAAGGTATCCAGGCTTTGTACATGTCTTATAANTATATCCTAAAATATATCACGATATCACCCTACATTACGAGCTAGTCGAATACGGTAAAATGTAAAGAAGTCTGGATAAATGTAGATGTTAGGGTATTTTACTCTTTCCCAAAGCAAATTTTAGATATACTTAGATTCTTGGTTACTTGATTGATTTATTTGCTTCGAGCGGTGCAAAAATTCTATTTTCTAAGTCTACCATTCTATCCCTGTACCGCCGAGATTGCGCTCAGGTTTTTAGCTAGAAGTGTTCAGAAACGACCAGATATCTACGAAAAAGTGAGGTTTGAATTGTACAGATACTAATAAAAAATCCTTAGGCCGAATAAGGATACCTTTGAAAAATAGTTTTGATCAACCATTTGACTTACATGCTGCGCCATGAATAATAAAACTACGACATTGACACTAATTGTGTTTTCGCAGATGCAACATGATCGTTTATCCTAACGCAAAGGCCATGCATTTTGCTCAAGTCATACTTTGCTTCTTGACATGCTTTGCTTTGCAAGTTTTTTTCTTCTGCGAAGGCAGGTCACAAAACTGAATCATGGTTTGCTTTTAGCTAGAAAACATATGCCCGATATTCAATGGGTGACTGATAACTTTATGCCTGTTTTATTGATGACTTGAAACTCTGTATTGGTGACGCACTCATCTCCTCTAAAATTAAACTCGAAATACCGTGGCTCACAGAGAAAAGACAATGCTGATAAAGAATTGCAAGTGCAGCATTCACGAAATCCTAGCTTCCTGTCAATCTAGTGAGTTACCCAAGAAATGATTTTTTGCGATTCTTTATAAATTCTGCGTATGCCGCATTATTAGCATGAACAATAACTGCGCTGATTCATGGTCAAGCCTCTACCTCCCAGCTGTGAAGATTAAATCATTTACACGGGTAAACCAGTGTCCAATTTTAATTGACTCGCTCACCATTCCTAATTTCGTCCGTTGCATATCATCAACCAAAAGCTCTTCTTATAGTTTTAAGCAGTTAATGTTGGCTTAACAATCATCAAACGAGACTTTGTCCTAGTGAAGTTGCACACCTGTTTATGAATGTCTTATTTGAAATCACTCAGTCAATTAATTTGAGTCGCGACTTTAGGAGGACTTTGATCAACACACTCTGTTGCATCACCGACTTGTATCTTCGTAAATAAGTTCCCATAGATTAGATTCACACAATTTTTTTTTTATGCGGTATATTAACGACATGGTCTTATTAAGTTCGGCTATTTTTTTTTTGTCCAAAAACGGCCATATAAAATAACACTACTATTTAATAGATCGTACGTTGGAGTTCTAATTTTGGCGTTGGAATCTTTCCCACACTGAGGGACGTAGTTATATGCTCTAGACATAATATTGGAACACAAAAAACAAACAGCCAATTGGAGCTTACCATTTCCAAAACTGCACGTGATTATTCTTTGATCGCGTTGACAAAACATTTCCCAGCCGTAAACAGTCCACGAAAGGGTAAATTATGTTGACAATCATGGTGTTGAGGCAATTTCTTTACTTTTTCGTGTTCAGGCAAACCAGAAAATTAGAATGAACTGAGTCGAGTAGCGAAGCTCGAAATGCCAGAATGGACGAGAGAAGCGGGTTTGATCAATCAATTCATTGTGCAATTCGGCTCCTTTGTTTGCAAATGCTATAATTAAACTCTGAGCAGGGCAATGGCATTATTTCTTCTGATAATTTGAAATCAAATAAATTTCATTTGACCTGGTAGTTGAAAATCAAGTAAAACAATGATTCTTGAAGGTGAGCTGCAATTCTAGCAATTGCAGAGTGGAGGCCTGGAAAAACTCAGGCTTCGACAGGATTCGAAGATGTGCCTCCCAGATACTAGTTGGACGCTACTACCAACTGAGTTAAGAGGCCTCACGCTGGTTCGAGGCAAGTTGAAAAGGATTTTCTTTTCCCGTGGAGGAGTCTGATTTCAATTTGTGATCATTCTCGCAAGTAAGCTGTGGTCTTAGCAGGGTCCCTACCCCGATTCAAGCCAAATGCAGAAATGGAATAAAATCAAATGAGTGAGGTCACTTACATTTATAAAAGATGACTAATCACTTCAAGAGTCATTTGAAGTAACATTGATCTTGTTATTGGCTATAAAAATGAAAAGTGACTTAAAGTTCCTAGCGGAAAAATGTTAGAAAACGTAACGTCTCTATAAATTTAATGAATTTTGGCTAATCTTGCAGCAACTCGCGCATACCTCCATTGGTGATCTTGAACCACATTGCTACCTTAGCATCCCTTAATTAATGCTGCACCTCACTGATTTAAAACATGAATATTCTCTTCTATTTTAAGGCCTTCTCTGTCTTGTCAGAGGCAAAGGACGAAGACGCCAAGAAAAAGGAAATTTTAATGCGCTTTTACTCCCAAGGTGAAAAATGTTTTTCTGATCTGGATGACAAACTCGAAGCTCTGGTGCGAAAGAATATGGGTGACGTGAGAGAGAAGATTTGCAAACATCAGAATGCATTGAAGAAGACAGAGTACTTTCTCTTAGTAGCAGGTGAAATTCAGTTTTAACGATTAAGAAATCCAGTCGTCGTTGTAGCTTGAAATTACACCCAGAGAAACACAAGTTTATGTCTTGCATTTTTGCGGACCTGACCACGAAATATTCAAAATTTTAACGCAGACGTGTGCAAATTTTCTCGCACATTAAACTTTTTCAGGTTTTTTTTCCGTTTAAAATCGATAACTCATCGAAACACGGCAATTATAGCCTGTGTTCGTAGCGGTGGAAGGTCAAGTAATTTTTTAGTTCTCATGAAGTTTTAATGAACTCACGATGTTAGTTTATAACCACAGTGTACTGTGCAAATTGTGTATTGAAAACATTAAGAGGTAAATCAAACTCAAAAGCTCGGTCAAAACGTGTAGTTAAATGAAACTAGGCAATCTTTTTGCCAATATTCAAGTTCCTTGTTGACATTATCATGGTATTTCAGTACTCTATATCCCTTAAAGGTGAAACGGGTGCAGGAAAAAGTAGTCTGGTGAACCTCATTCTTGGCGAAGAACTTCTTCCTTACTCCTTACTAAGTACAACCTCCACCATCTGTGAAATGAGGTACGGACAACAACGCGAAGTTGTGGCCCACTTCAAAGACAAAGACCCTGAAACGGGATTGCCGACGAAAACCTTCCCCCTCGTAGAACCCCCAGAAGGAGCAACTGAACAAAGCTATCTTCAGCAGATCTCTCCTTATGTCCATTTGAAGGGCGACCGCGAAAAAGGTTCAAGTTACAAGAAGATTGAACTCTTTTGGCCTCACGAACTCTTAAGGGTATACCAAAAATCTTTGAATTTCTTCAACAAAGAAACATTTGGTAATGTCTTCTCAACCCTTACAAAGTTCAATAGATTTTATTCCAGGCTAAAGGTTCTATCCGTTCTAGCATCATCAAGCTTATAACCTAAATATCTGCAGGATTTCTATATAACCCCCTAGTGAGAGGCACCAAAATTTGAACTCATGGCCCAATTGGCCATAGTTTAAGCTGCAACCCGCTATTTTATTTATTGTTCGACTTGCTTATAATATTCAACAACAACAGGTTGACTTGTAAAATAAATTATTGAAAGTCGTAGAAATGCACAATTAAAGAAAGCAAAATTCCAGAATGTTAGAGTTACGCAAGCAGTGAGTTCTCCTTAATATTTCATCGTTTCGTGTTTGTCGTCACATCTAAGACTACTCAAAGAGGAACTTCATGGTTTGTTATTTCAAGTGCGCTAACGACGTCCGTAATCGAGAAAAGCGAAATTAACTGCGCACGAAGTTAGTAAAACATTACATATTAATTTAAAAACGCTACTTTACTTTTAGAGTGGAGTCGTTATCATTGACAGTCCTGGTGTTGGAGAATCTGAAATCATGGATGAAATAGTGACGGAGTATCTACCTCAAGCCTTTGCGTTTATTTACGTCGTCAATAGTGCGAATTCGGGAGGAGTTCAGAAAGACAGGGTGAGTGCGAAATTTAAAAAACAATAGGTAAACTAATACAGTTGCCGTTTTGGCAACGTAAATTTAAAATTTATTTCCTAGATTTTCAGAACCTAACCAATAGGTTTCTCTGATTCGATATTTATTCCTTGTTTAAGACTTTAATGACCATAATTTTCTTCACCAAAATGTTTGTTATGAACCCTCGCCGTAGCGAGACTTAAAATCTATCAAATATCATCGCTCACGCAACCTGCCTAAAGGCATCATCTTACCAAGTAAGCCACAGCTAAAGCTTTACCGTACGTTCACTTCGATAAAAGTAATTATATTAAAAACAAAAAAAAAAGGAATTAACCTCTTACTTTGTAAACGAGTGCGAAGGCCGCACTGAGGAATATTGGCTCAAGGTCGTAGGGGTGTGGGCCGAGCACAGCGAGGTCTTACAAAAATGACTAAGGACCAGTATTCGTCACTACGACTCGAGCAAGCGGGGTCAGAAAGAAGAATTTTTTTTTGTGTGACCCTCGGATAAAACTTGTTTGTTTTGAAAGTGCTGGTTTTTGCGGACAAAAATAGACGGCTTATGACCGTTTCTGTGGAAACGGTACATATGGCGACATACGCACCAATTAAGAATCAATCAGAACGCTTAGATCTACCTCAGGACTACCTGCATGGATATCAACAGTTCCTCAAAGCCCACAGTTTTTCTCGAGGTTTATGTGCCAGATGGAGGCTACTCTCTACATTAGTATGATCAAAGATTTTGAAAGGAACTCAGTTAGTCGTATATATTTCAGATTCTGACGCGCAGCATACTATAGGTAATAAGTTAGAGTAAAACGGCTTTACCATAATGAATGTTTAGTGTTGTAGTTATTCCTAATTGCAGCTAGGAAGATTGTTGGATGTGGTCGTCGGAAAACGAAAAGAGGGACAAGAAGAGTTCCCGGCCAGGTGCGCTTTGTTCGTGTGCAACAAGTGGGACCAAGTTCCAGAGAAAGAAATTAAGGAGGTGAAGCGCCATGTTGTCGCTAAATTAAGAAAGTGCTGGCCCGGTCTTGATCCAAGATCACAGATCGTCTATATGTCAACCATGAACGCAAGTAAAGCTCAAAGCTACGGGATCATTACCAGAGATTTTGTTTCGTTTATGACCGGTATGAGGTCTATGGTATTAAAGAGCATTGAGGCTAGATTGGAAATTCATTGGAGGTTAGTGTTAAATCAATATTTTTAAAGATAAATATTTTCTTGCTAATAGTTGCTGCTCCTTAGGTGATTCCTCAGTATTGCATTGCACATCTTGTACTGCGCATAAAAAATTGCGTAATTAGGCGAATAAGAGCGCGCGAATTCCGAAAACGCAGTATTGTTTTTTTCAGTCAATGGACTAGGTAAAGTAGTACGATGGTCTCCAGCTCTTGAACAAGTGCGTTGACCGAAATTTTCTATCGCATAACTTTGGTGTACAAATTATTCCCTTTGAATTGGAAAATTTAAAAAAATTCATAGTAAGGAACAAAGGATGCAGCTAAAAGTGTGCACGAAGCCCATTACTCAGTGATGAAAGTTAATATCTTTGAAAGCAACGAGTTGAGGAGCGTTTGAGTCTATGTCGTTTAAAATTGCGTAACTTTTCGCAAATTATATACCAAATTGTTCCATAATCTAGAGATTTTCTAGATATTAAGTTTTTTTAAGTGGCACTTTAAAAAATCTTGCTTTTAGCTGCCGCAAAATATGCCGTAAACTGATAAAATAACGCGCGTGAGAAGTGCCACCACGGACATAAATGGGGTAAGATTGGCCATTAGATAAGCATTTGATTAGTCTTTTTTACTGAATTGTTTGAAATGAAATTGGTAAGGAATATTAAATACATATGTATTTAGATATATGTGGCATGGCTCAGATGATACCAAAAATGTGGAGTCATTTTGGGGGGCTCTATAGCTTTACCTCCAGGAGGCCGAAAAAGTGCCCTCTGCAGTTAGATATAACTCTTTAGCATAACTAAGCTTTGGTTTCTTGTCCAAATTGAGCACTCTACTAGGGTGAGTCGTATCGGGCAATTGTACAATGCCAGCTCATTCCTAGTTTGAATACTCTGGCATGGCCTAAATGATACCGCAAATGTGGAATCATTTTGGGTGGCCATATAGCTTTACCCCATCCTAGAATCAGCACTGCACTGAGGAGGCGCTGATGAGGCCCAGATATATAACAATTATTCGCCGAAGGCGAGGTGAATACCACTTCCCCATGAGATTTCCATAATTTCTTGTGCGTGTTCTAAACTTTACTTTGCTAACGTTTTTTATTCCTTTCATGCATTCACTCAATTACAACGGGTGTGTAAAGAGCTACTCGTACAACTGAAAAAGAACTCTTATTCCTATGCTAAATTTCAAGATATATAGTTGGTTGTGGCCAGGCACTATTCATGATAAAGCTAGGTCATCCTAGATCGTGTCAATCACAGAGAACAATCAAGTTGACATGTCTTGAAACTAAAAAGGAAATGATCTCTTGATATTTAACAATTATTCGCCGAAGGCGAGGTGAATATTGGACAATACTCTCCGAACCTGAAGCGAATAATTGTTTTAGTATAATTTCAAAGCTGAACAACAGAGAAATTTCTAAAATCATAACATTTTAGTAAAATTTATTAACATTTTATTTCAACATCTTATATAAACCGCGTGGAGCGGTTTATATAGCGTCATATAAGGGACTCCTCGACCAATCAGATTGCTGGATAATCTTTGCTCCGCTCTGAAGTTACACTATATATATATATATAAATTCTGTATACGAGGGAAACCCTGACCCTGTAAATCCCAAATAATCATACTTAAATAGAATAAATATTTGAGAAGAAAATTTGCCCTGAGCGGGATTTGAACCCACGTCCCCCTGTTACTAGTCAGGTGTGATGACCACTACACTATCAGGACAACCCTGCTGGCAACACGGCATTCGAAGATGTGATTTAGATGATCGGAGACGTGGTCTCCCGGGAAACTTAATTTTCAAGGTGACAGGGCAGGGGAAGCCTATAACCTCAGATGAACCCCAACTAAGCCCACCCTGGTACCCCAACTAACCCTACCCTGTCACCCTTAAAATTCAGTTTCCCGGGAGACCACGTCTCCGATCACGTAAATCACAACTTCGATTGCCGTGTTGCCAGCATGGTAATCCTGATAGTGTAGTAGTCATCCCACCTGACTAGTAACAGGGGGAAGTGGGTTCAAATCCCGCTCAGGGCAAATTTTCTCTTCAAACATTTATTCTATATAAATCTATACGAGAAAATTAGGGTTAGAAATCAGGTGGCAACAGCAAAGCAGTTTTTAATCACCGTTACAGATTGCACGATCCACACCATACCAATAAACAGACACGTGAAGACTAAAATATAAACATGATTTTACTCTTAAGGTGGTTAGACGAACTTTTCTCCCGGATGATTTACCACGCAACGGCCTTTGTGAACAACGCCTCAAAGGATCATGAGAAAGTCGCCCAAAGGATGGCCGTAATTCGTGATCGTTTAATGCGATTGGAAACAGAACAAAGTCAAGTGATCGAAGACCTCCGCAGCCATCTGAAAGATCGCACCGATAATGCTTTAAAGGAGCTCTCCGTTTATCTCAATTCGGATAGGGTAAAATCGCGTTTCACCTCTTGGACCTTGGATGAAGTCCCAAAAGCAGAATCCTCTTGGGAAGTGATTAAAAACAACGTTACACAAGCATTAAGAGGCCGACTGCACGATATCTTAGAGCATTGGGAAGAGGACATGCATGTGTTCGCAAATGCACGTGAGTCCCTTCTACAACGTTTTCAGCACAAGTACAATGTCTTCGAAGAGGAACTCCGAAATCTCCAGAGCGCTGTCACATCGGACGAAGTCTTGCCAGAAGGAGATGCCCCTGAAGAAGAAAGTCTATTTACCTTGAGGGAAAAAGTTGTCATCGGTGTCACAAGTCCACTATGGGTTCCCCTTGGTGTCGTTGCTGTAGTGATTGGTGCCCCTGTAGTCGGTATATTGGCCATTAAGAAGAAGTTTGAGGAGAAAAGCAAAATCAGAAAATACGAGAAGAACAAGTGTGCATTCATGGCTGAGGCGTCAGCAGATTTCTTGAATGATGTACTATTAGACGAATATGCACTCAGGAACTTCGTGAAGGGCCAACTAAAAGATGCAAAATTGTGCCTCAGGCAAATCGAGGCCCGCATTCCAGAGCTGATTCAGGCTGACCTCATGTTGTGTAAACAACTTAGTGATGAGACGCGCTCCAAGGAAGTGATAGTGGATCTCTACAAACCAATGTTAGATGAAGCCTTGAATATTCGAGGTGAGCTTTCCATGTTTGTGGTGAGAGATGTCCGTACGTTTGGTGTCAATAGCCTGAGTTTAGACTGGAAAGAAGACAAACCCCTTGGCTGTGGCTCGTTTTCTTCTGTTTACCAAGGAAAAATGAAAACTGAGACCGGAGAAGAGATAAATGTGGCTGTAAAGGTTTATCACGAGGCTCTTAATGTTCAGACTGCTGGACTCGTCTCGAAGGAGGTTGATATTTTGAGGTAAGGACCTCACTTAATTAGTTTCATTCAGACATTTGTTTTTGCGACTTTTTCGGCAATTTGTTTTATATAACAAGCCATAACAAGAAATCTTGAAAAGCGGCTGTGTTCGGAACTCCAGTCTTAAATAGTCACTATATGCGCTCAAACTGAGCTCTTGCGGATAATCAAATGAATGAGTGAGTTTTTATGATTCATTGAGGTACGGAGAGTTAGGTAGTGATATTTGTAGTCTTTATTTATGAACTAATCATGATTGGACAGTTCAAAAATGATGCTTCAAAGATCAAATAATGTTTTGAGCTGATTTACGATGAATTTCCATCACTGAGCTCAAAACCTATTGTTATTTTGTGTTTTAATAGGAAATTACAGCATCAATACATTGTAAAGTTTTACGGCACATCCCTTCTTGACACAGAAAGCAGCTGGACCAGGGTGATGCTTGTTATGGAACACTGCAAAAGTAATTTAAAGAGTTACATCTTTCAGAATCCTGACAAAGTTCCAGCAAACTCCAAAAATCCTGCTGACAGGAGCGAAACTTTTCGGTGGGCAACCGAGATTACTGGTGCTCTTGACTATATTCATAAAGAAGGATTTGTTCACAGGGATCTTAAGTTGGAAAATATATTGGTATGACACTCAAACATTTATTATTCATAATTGTTATACTCTCAACTACATATTTATGAGAATGAAATGTTTAACCAAATTATTATCTGATAAAAATTCACTAATTATGTTAAAGTTGCACTGCCAATCTATTCGAAAGGTTTTGCAGTGGAATTCAGAAATTTAGTGTCGGTGTTTGTTGATCTTGACACAGAGGGAGACCTTTTAACTAGGTTTATAGAATAACTGTACGGAGCACGTATCATCTGAATGGTCAATCTGCTTTGCATCCTTATTTCTCAGTTTCTAATGGCATCGTCGTAATTATGCCAGTCTGTTCACAGCAACATGTCTATCAGTTGATAGCGTTGTGCCCTTAATTGAGCGATCTAACGTATGTTTTTTCGCGGCTTTTTAAGCTGGCAGAGAATAATACGGCAAAGATTGCGGACGTTGGTGTTTCCAAAGGAGCACAGGAGATCACCGGTACTCTAGCAGGAACCCCTGTGTACATGGCACCGGAAGTGTATCACTCGAGACGTTATGGCTCCAAAGTGGACATATACAGCTTGGGGATTGTGTTCTGGGAGATGTGGTATGGCTTGCATGCTTTCAGTGAGCTCAGGTCTCTAACTCCAATCCAATTCTTTGAGCGAGTGGAGCAAAACCATCGGCCAAAAGATGTGGAAGGCTGCTTTACACCTCCATCTCGCTGGAAAGAAATGATGGAGAATTGCTGGAAAACAGACCCGCAAGAACGCCAAACAGCTGAGTGGTGCAATAGAGTGGCTAGTGACCTTCATAATGCGTCCTTAAAAAAACAGTGACATTCTAGAAAACTGGCAAGTCCTTGGAAAAAATTGTAGGAAATCAATAATTTACAGTGAGTGATGAGACTGTGAATTCGATGAAACCCGCCAAGTTTTTTTTCAAATCAAAATAATTTTTGCTTATAAACTCGCAGTAGCATCGAAACATGCATCAGAAATAATGTATCAATGAGTTTATTTTCGTGAAATGTATAAATGTTCCGTGGAAACTGATCAATTATCAATAGTGAATTTTGTACCAATTTTTTTCTTGGTTTTTCTTGTCGGTATGAACATTAATGTGACGCCGAGGTACAAGGAGATCTGCTTTAATTGAAATAGTCAGAAAGAATGTGTCTTCAGCTTGTCGCCTGTACAGCTGTTAGTTCCATACTGGAAACTGATCTCTGTATTTTGAAGAGATAAAGTGATAAAATATGTGTGTAAGTTAGGTGGCAAATGCATGGGGCTGGTACATTTTAGTTTTTAGTATAGACTAGTGGTTATTTTTGAGATGGCTACTATACTACGTTTACATTTGAAGACTTTAAAAACGTATAAATTACAAAGGGGGACAGTTTTAGATTTCTGTTAACCAGGCATCTACTGCATTATGACAGTAGTGATCCTGGTGCCAAATCTTATGTTACACAGACCTAGTAATTAAGCGTGAAGTCTTAAATATCGATTATGCAGTGTATATCCTTATGAAATGACAATTTCATTTGCACTCTTAAATCAAGTTGTAACAGCAAATGTTCTAGCTTAGACTTGAACAAAGGAGTTTTTTTCAAAGGATTTATTAGTGTCCTCTTATTGTCTGGGAACTTGCTGGGATGTTGGAGGAAATCAGTTTGAAAGCAGAATTCATTTTACCCACGCTTTTGATATTACTATTATGTCACCTGTGTACCTCAAACTTTTATCTTGGAATTCAAGGAAAGTTTCACGGGGATAGGGGGCGCGCAGGATAGGGTTTACTCACAAATTTAGGAGAATTAAGCTCCGAGGTTATTTATTTCCAAAATTCTGAAACTCAGTATCTTTACATTTATTTTAAGTATGTACCAATAACAATGTAAGCGATAGACGATTATAAAACAGAGCCTGTAAGATGAAAGAAAAACTTCTGACTATCTAGGGATCGCTAATGCCTTTTTCAGTTTCTTATTGAGAAGTTTTTTTCTTTATCATAGTGGAAAATGGAATCCGCTTACATTTGGTCCAAAAAAAATGAGAACTGCCCGCTTGTAATAGCCATATTAAAACATCTTCCAGGAGTGAGCTGTCTTGTGGCTTTAGGTGGTCGGAAGAAATGTTTCTACTCTCATAAATACTCATCTACTCGAACTTCCGTAAAAACGCTCGAGTCTAAAAAATTGAGCTGATCTTTTTCTCTTTTGGTCGCCAAGTCTTCAATTAAGTCTGTCTCTGTCCCCAATTAAATGTTTTTGTCTCTCCTTAAATATCTTGGGGGTGATACAAAGTCCTAGCTTGCTTAAGCACTCCCCTCGCTCCCTTCCCAAAAAAAAAATACAAATTTCTTGCCTAGCTAAAAAATCCCCAAGCAAGCTCGAGTTAACTCTTCGATAGCGTCTGGTCTTGTTTATGAAGCTTGACTTCGTCTTATTGGACTTGATTCGCTAAGTTTAGTAGTTGCTTTTCGATCTCAGAGAGAAGTGCTATACTTTTCTTTCGTAGTTCGGTAAAATATATTTTTTAATTGACAACAACTCGTACAATAGCATGCTAAGAAATATATCCAGCAAGAACTCTGCTCCCTCCCTGACACAAAAAGTCTTAATTATTGTGAAGCTATGGTTTGCCAACTAAGTGTAATCGGACTGGTCATATGAAAGTGGAAATATGTGGTGAATAATATAACCGATGATTAAAAAGTATCCACGTATTTCTTTGAGCAAGTATTATTACATCGCTCGCAGCGCCTGTGGGCAAGAGGAAGCGAATCCTCTGTTCTGATTGGCTACCCGAGCGAAGAAGAAGGGTGCATCTTGCCCCCTCGGGATTGTCCGCATTGATCCCGCGCATGAAAATAATAGAACTAGAACTACTTTCGTAATTCTTGGACAATTTCGGCGATGGAGACGCAAAAAGCGGCAGAAGATAGTCAAAACAAGGAAAACAAAAACGACTCACGTGAGGTTGTTGTACTACAAGCACAGTTGGCTTTCTTTCCCGGGTCTCGAAGTCATTCTTAATTCTTAGCAAAGCAAAATCCTTTTGAAATATGATGAATCCTTTTTTGATCAACCTTGTTCGGTCAAGATGGCTCAGCGTTAGCCTCGTTCTTTCGTCGCATTGTTATGGACTTCGACTTCGTCTCGGTCCATAAAAATGCAGACAAAGAACTTGGCCAATATCCAGGCATCTTGACCTCACGCTTGGTTAATAACAAATATATACAACCGTAGGGGTCCTCCTTCGTGCGTTTTTTTTAGAAATGACTCAGTTATGCATTATTAAAAAAGCAACGGCACGGCTGTACTGGTCTGCTGCAGCAGAATAGAGGTGCAGCAATCTGGTGCTCTATTCTTCCTGAAACTGCACATTCTCATTATCTATTTAAGTTCGTTAAACATGGCATCGGGCAAAACGAAAACCATCGATGAAATCAACGATCTGTTATCTATGTTTCAAGCCTTGACAGCGCTCGGAATTTCGTGCGAAGGGTTGACGACGCTGGAACAAATGAAAAGTCGGGTGAAGGTAGAATTAAATCAGTCTTCAAACGTTCCTAACTGGGCTGCCGGTCAGGTAAGCYTTTACTCGGTCTTGAAATGTATATAAATGCATAGAGTGATTTGTCTTGATATTGGCGAGACCTTGTTTAATTTCTTAAATAAATCACGAATCAAGTATCCAACGGCTTTGTAATCTTTGAGCAATAGACTGTAGTTCTCGCATACATTAAATGAGTAAGGTACCAGTAATTTGAGTATAATTGACTACCGGTCTTTTATTATTGACTACTTGTCTTTTATTATGAAACCATTTTAAAGTTTAGTCAGCTCTGAGTTGTCAATGTTAACTCTCTGTGCCGACGATTCTTCGAAATGATGGCCGTGATTTTCTTTTGAGGTTCATTCTTGGTCTGGCACTGCGATAAATTATGCCCGCGCCTGAAACTTTTCAAGTTTCTAATCTGGTTTACCAGTGTCTAATATTTCCTTCTCCCCTTGCCTCAAGTCATTCGTGTTTTTTTTTGGTCTGATTTTCATCAGTCATACAAATTTTTTAAAGTTGTTTTTTTACTCTCTTGGCCACCGAGAGCCCAACTATTTAATCTTCATCAGATTTGAACATCGAGATACATGATTTGACAAACAATGGAAACAACAATAGGGACAAATGACGTAGAAAAGTTAGTTCACTTTTTCTCTTTCAGAAGTGGCCGTCAAAATATATTCAGTAAGCTTGGCCTAGTAATCAAGCAGCACACAATTGTATTTTTTATCCATGACCGACGAAATACTATAATTTGAAATAATACGAATGAACGTATGGCTGTCGCCATTTAAAACTGTTCCCTTACCTTTTGAGTCAAGGATGTGGAAAGGTTGTGGAGATTGATTAGAGAGATATTTCTAGGTGAAGGAAAATATGACTTCGAAAGGCGGGAGCCTTTCAAGAGTAGCACAGAGGAATTATTATCCTAACCACTTGATAAACATGCAAGCAAGACCTTCTCCCTTGATAGTATGTGTATTGTGTAACACAATTAGATTCTGTTTTCCCTTGTACTTGGTCGGTCATTAATCAGTGAAGACCCTTAAGGGCGAAAGAAAGATGAGTGACAGGCGCAAATGCGGCTGATGTGCCTTTATTTCAAATTGACCTAATTTTTTTTTATGAAGTAGCAGTCACAAAAAAAAATATATGAACCTGATAAGAGCTTTAATTCGATACGGCTGACTTAGCTCGCCACCATTGAGTTATTTTATTGTTTCAGCATCCACGATGGACGCCAATAATCTCTCTGAAAGTGATCCATTTGTCAAATTACAAGATGCTCGGAGGCGTTCACGTGAAAGGTTTCGGTCGATGAGGTCGAACTTTAGACATGTCTCAAGTATGATTTGAAAACATTAATTGCTCATTTCATAAACAATCTAGGCTAAGTTCAAGAAATGAGTCATCTGCACCTTATAACTGGTCTGGATGGATTAACTAATAATTCATATGTTTTTAATCGTTTCTCCTGTCGTGTGTGTTCACTGATTGGTTGAGTGATCATGTTGCTTCGATGCAGAATAAACTCACTCACAGCCAGCTATGCGTGATCATTCACAATTTAATGCACAAGATAAAAGAAAACTATGGTGCAATTATACCACAGTAAAATCTTACATTTCGGAAGGGATTGACTTTTTCGCTGATGAACTTGTTATCTGGTATGCAGCCTCGGATTAAAGCCAGCTTTTGCAAAAATACAATAACGAGCTGAGGTCTGTAATGGATCTATCTAATATGAAAGAAAACTGATTATGTAATGTTTGGAACTGCTAGTAAACTGAATCAATTTGACTCTGTTGACACATGCGAGGTCTCTTTAGAAGTCAATCCCTTAATGAAAACTATGCATCTCGATAGTATTTAATCTAGGCATTTTCCTTGAACAGTCCCTATTTTTTAAGGAGCATGTCACTCAACGTGGTTTGTTGAGTAAGGTGCGCCGGTGATAGTCTGGCGGTCTACTCAGCTGCTGAAAGAGTTTTTCGACTATGAGATATTACTGCGACTATATTTGGAACAATTTAGCTCCTATTAGATTAAGAAATCAAAATGGATTCAATCTAGGGCTGCCAATATAGTATTAAAGGAAAGCAAGTTAGGAGGTCAAGAGCAACTGATATGTCAGCTGAATACCATGCCTCTTTGGTCGTGAAGTACGTTGCAAAATTAGATTTTTGTTTTCAAGAGCATCTTCAACGGTGTCCCGGATTTGTTAAGGAAGAATTTCAATGGTCATCAAATAGTTATTCTACTGAGTGAAGTAGTCGAAATCTTAAATGGTATTTATACCTTAAGTACGCACAGAATCTCGAAAGAATGGCTGCTTTTAATCAAGTGCTCAAACTTTCAAACAAACTATCTTCGCACTTGAAAGAAATGAATTGGTTAGAGATATTTAAAACTTGGCGTAGGGATCTTTTTATTAAATTTAAACCGTGCGTAATCTATTGAAATACATATTTTAGTTTTTATTAGCTATATTGTAGATTATAGATATCCTTCTTATTTTTGTCATTTCATTTTTATTTATCACCATTATTCTTAATTAGAATTTTAATGCCCAGAGCATTCATTAATAACAGCTTCTTCAGAAGGGTTACCCTCTGATAATAACACAGATACTCTTTTTTTACCACACAGTACAGAAAGTGGAAATTGACTGAAAAAATTTGCAATAAGGTGCAGAGATTTGAAATCAAATTAGTTGAAGAGAGGTCGCGAATTAAAAGCATAACAATACAAAATGGCCGATAGGTTAAGGAAAAGTAACAACGTTTTAATTTAGAGTTTGAAGGAAAGTGTTAAGACCTAGGTCACCAAGTAAACACACAAACAACTGGCTTCGAGTCTGGACGTCTTACAAAAACGGCTGTGACAAAGTACTACAATGTACCAAGCGGTGGCACTGAACAAAATTCTCGAAGTACGGGGAATATTACGACTGTTATATCCTTCGTCTGCACACTAACAAATATTTCAAACGCTTGATTATTCGGCTGACAGAAAGTTTAAAAACACGGAGCAAGTTCTTATGAGAAAATCCCAACTACTCCGGCGACAACGCAAAGAAAAGCAACCGAACCAATGAGCCATGACAAGAAATATACACAGCTAAGAGAAAAACACAGCCAAATATTTGCATATATATTATCAAGAAGTACTAATGTGATTCTTTCTCTTGTATTTTGGGATAATTCAGCATTCAAAATGTTACAGACAGCAAATGGCACTCACCCGACGAGCTCGCGCAATTTGGATAACCTTTGTAAAATCACTAGTGCTCACTAAACACGAATTGCATTCACAATCATGTGATTATACATACAATACGTGCACTCGACCGAAATGTAAACGCAGTCCACGAAGGTCTCCCATATATAAAGCCATTTCTGCGATGCTCAATGCTTCTGGTTTAGAACGCGGGAAGTGTTTGATATGAAAATTATTTATTTTAGAATTCTCATTTCTCAAATATTTTGTACTTTGCTTTATTTTGAAAGTTAGTGGCTTTGGATATTCATAACTGTAGTGTTTTAGCACTTGAATTCGTTACTAATTCTCATCTAATGTGAACATGACTTTTTGTCTTCCCTCCTTAGGCCTGTTCTGTTCTGTCAGAAGCAAGGGAGGAAGATACCAGGAAAAAAACAGCTCTTTTGCAGTTTTTCTCCCAAGCAGAAACGTGTTTTGGTCATCTGGATGACATAATGTTAAATTTGGTGTCGATGAATATGGGAGACGTGAACGAGAGAATGAGAAGTCACAGGGAGCGCATGAAGCAGAGAGAATATTTCCTTTTAGTGGCAGGTACATTGTGGGTAATAGGAGAATGAGTATGATAAGCTAATAGATAAAGTAAATCAGCTAAACTGGATCTAAATTTCATCTGCAATATATCTCGGTTACGTCATAAACGAGGTTACCGAGCTCAAGAAGAGATTTAGAAGTCTTACTGAACTTTAATGAACTGATATTTATTCTGCTGCTTTGGAAAAAGAAGCAAAACTGTGATATTATCGCACATGAAATACAAGAGAAACTTTGCAACAAGTTAACTTTTTTTGTAGCCATATCAATAGCACTTAGAAAATAAAGCATCTTGTAAGTTGTGAAGAAGACGTATCTAAAACTAGGCCTGCCTCTACGATAAGAATTTAAGCTCCTGAATATAAACTCTAGAGAGTCAGTTTTGTTTTCATTTGACTCAAGGTGAAACAGGCGCAGGAAAAAGTAGTTTGGTGAACCTCATTCTTGGCGAAGAACTTCTTCCTTACTCCATACTAAGTACAACCTCCACTATCTGTGAAATGAGGTACGGAAAAGAACGCAGAGTTGTGATCCACTTCAAGGACAAAGACCCTGAAACGGGATCGCCCACGAAAATATTCACCCTCGCAGAACCCCCAGAGGGAGCAACTGAACAAAACTATCTTCAGCAGATCTCTCCTTATGTCCATTTGAAGAGCGACCGCGAAAAAGGTTCAATTTACAAGAAGGTTGAACTCCATTGGCCTCACCAACTGTTGAAGGTAAATTATTTGGATCTTAGAATATTAATCTTTAAACTCTTTGGGAAGAAGGAAGGAGCAGTTTCAAAGGGTTCTTAGAGCACCCCCTGATTTGTAGATTAGACTTTTCAGTCTCAACTAAAAAGAAAGACTCGCTGCCATGCAAGGAACAAAATGGTATGATTTAAATTTTACTTGAGTATAAAAAGATTTGAAGTCATTTGCAGTGAATAGGTTAAGTTCTTCATTCCAATTGGTCTTAATTCCTAGGAACATTCTTGTAATTAAGTATTCTTTAGATAATTTTTGAACTCTAAAATGTACTTTACGTTTTGGGGCCCCTCCCCTCTCGAGTAGTATCAGTAAAGAAAGTCGAGGCAAATGTTCATCCTTTTTTCTTTAAGAACAATCGTTTCGTAATAAAAATCGACATTTGTCTTTTAGAATGGTATCGTCATCATTGACAGTCCTGGTGTTGGCGAATCTGATATCATGGACGAAATAGTGACGGAGTATTTGCCGAGAGCCTTTGCCTTCATCTACGTTCTCAACAGTGCAAACGCTGGCGGAGTTCAGAAGGACAGGGTAAGTTTGTCTAAAAATATACGTTTATGCTATTAAGTGACCTTAAGTTACTGTGCGATAAATTGAGGCAGTTACAAATTCTCATAATATGCATGCAATAATTTCAGCTCGCTCATTGGCTGAAATCACGTCAAGATATCCCATACAGTACAGAAAGTTGAGTTGGGTGCGAAAGGTTGAAACTAAGAACAAAACCTTGAAATTTAATTATCGACAGGAAAGTCACGAAAGCATAGCAAAACAAAAGGGTGGTTAGATTAGGAGGAACTAACAACCTTTTAAGTAGTAAGGTGGTTAGCCGCCATCATCACGATTTACAGGGGCGTTGAGGAGTTGATATGCCAAACTTCCAAACAAAGACGCTGGTGGTAGCATCGACATGTGTAGATAATTTTTTAATTATCCCACCCAACAATATGGTTAGTTAGGCACGTGTGTTCCGACATAGCTGAATTTTATTATTTGAAAAAGAAGACCGCCGTTTGGTGCTCGTTCAAACGTGTACCAAACTGACTTTGGTCTGTCCGATATACTCGTGATCACAGTCATTGCACGGAATAGAATACATTGCGACAGTTGGTGTTTCTTTTGTAACAGGACCCCTATGTTTGGAAATAACACGCCCTAAAGTCTGAACGGACTTTTAAGCAACTTCGATGTTGTAGCTATTCAAAATTCTCTCGATGGGCTCCGTAACACTCTGGATGCACGGAATAGCAGCAAAACGAGTCGCTGATTCCTTTGCATTAGGAGTGTACTCGTTGTAACTGGTTTCTGGCAGTTACGGAGAAATGTTTTGATATAGCCATTTGCCTTTAGGACGTCGGAAACTAATTTTCTCTTCTCAAACTTCAAATCAAGTCAAGACGGTAGACAGTCAAACCCCCTGTGTGAAGTTTTAGCTTTTTCAATGTGGGTCGGTTTAATTTAAAATATGGAAGTCTTGCGCTCCCAAAAACGACAATAGGAAAAGCACCTACAAACCGGAGGCCCTGAACAAAATTTTCGAGGAGTTCGTACGAAAGACGGGGAGTATTACGACTGTGACATTGTTGCTACGAGATTTTAAATATATTCGCACACTCTAGTTATCTTAACAAGGTGAACGATAATTATGACCAACTGCATGAGCCGAGTGACACTATTTCGCTGTGACTAAGAAATTACGTTTTTTTGCCCTTCGGTTACTTGTGTTATGTGTAATATTGTTTTATAGCGCATTTTGTGTCTACCAGAATTTGTAGAACCGGTATCAGCGTAGAAGAAAAAATGACCCTTATCTAATTAAAACGTGACATAAAATATATAAAAGATATTTTGCTTCAGATCAATGGCAATTTTCATTTAGTCGTTGCTTGCGCAGGTTCAATAACGGCAGGGCAATAAATTTTCGGAACCGTTCAAGGTAACGTTATCCAAGAGTGGACAGGAACTTTCGGATTCCTACAGTTTGTGGACAACTTCTTTACGAATTTAAAGGTCTCGTGACCGTTTCCTCTTTATAGCCAAAATAACACTCAGGGTAAATGAAAATAACAAAATCAAGGTAAACGAAGGTTTCCTCATAGAATATACAATGAGACTTTTTAATTGCAGCTGGAAAAGTTGGTAACAAAAGTTGTTGGAAAACAGAAAGAGGGGCAAGAGGAGTTTCCACCCAAGTGTGCGTTATTCGTGTGTAATAAGTGGGACCAAGTTCCAAAAGGAGAAATCAACGAAGTGAAGAGCCACGTTGTCAAAAAATTGAAGAAATGCTGGCCTGGTCTTGATCCAGAGTCGCAAATCGTCTATATGTCAACTATGATGGCCAACACTGCTCAGAGACATGGAATCATCACCGAAGATTTTTCCTCTCTGATGAATGGGGTCAAGGCTATGGTATCCAGAACCATAGAGGCAAGACTTGAAATTAATTGGAGGTAAGCATTAAAATATGGGGTTTAATTGCTTTATCTTAAGGTGTAAAACAGGATGTTGGTGAAGGTTAACTTGAGAGAAATACTTAGCACACAAAAATCTAGACCACTTCCTATCGATTGAGACTTGTCTATTGTGTTACATAAAAATACAAACATCTCCTTTTCCCGATTTCTTTTGAGCGCATAATTATTTACCAAGCTCCCGGTACAAACAAACGAATGACTATTTACATTCCAACATATACATCTACTTTAAAGGTGGTTAGACGATCTGCTTTCCCGAATAACATATCATACAACCGCTTATGTGAAGAACGCATCAAGAGACCACGTAAAAAGCGAAGCATTGATGGCCTTGATTCTTCTCCGGTTAATGCTGATCAAACAACAACAGAATGAAGTGATGGAAGATCTTCGCAGCCATTTGAAAGATCGCATCGACAAAGCTGTGCAGAAGCTCTCTGATTACCTCCGGTCCGATGGAGTAAAATCGTGTTTCACCTCGTGGACGTTGGATGAAGTTCCAAAAGCAGAAACCTCCTGGGAAGTGACGAAGAACAGCATCACTAAGGTGTTGGAAAGGCGCCTACAAAATATCATAGAGAACTGGGAAGAGGACAACCACGTGTTCGCAAATACTCGAGAATCACTTTTGGAGCACTTTCAGAAGAAATACAACTTTATTTCGGGGGAACTCCGAAATCTACAAAGCGCTGTCACATCTGACGAGGTTATGCTGGAAAGTGATGCACCTGACGAAGAAAGTTTCTTTTCCCTCGGGGAAAAGGTTGCCATTGGTGTTACAAGCCCACTGTGGGTCCCACTTGGTCTCGTTGCCTTCGTGATCGGTGCCCCAGTAGTTGGCGTAATGGTCATCAAGAGCAAGTTGGAGAATAAAAGCAAAATCAAGAAGTACGAAAAAGACAAGTGCACTTTTATGGCTGGAGCGTCTGCAGACTACCTGGACGAGGTGATAAAAGAATCCATCCTCAAGTCCTTCGTGAAACACCAATTGAATGCTGCTAAACTTTGTCTGAAGCAGATTGAAGCCCGCATTCCAGAGCTTATTCAAGCTGACATAGTGGCCTGCAAACAGCTCAAGGATGAAACACGTTCGAAGAAGGACATAATAGCACTCTACAAGCCAATCCTGGATGAGGCTGTGGAGATCAGAGGTCGTCTTGCCGTTTTTGGGCTCAGAGAGGTCCGTGCCGTTGACGTCAGCAGCAAGGAATTGGACTGGAAAGAGGACGATCTTCTTGGCAGCGGAGCGTTTGCCTCTGTTTACCGAGGAAAGATGAACACCGAAAACGGAGAGGAGCGAACTGTGGCATTGAAAGTTTGTCATGAATGGCTTCATCCCGGAAATGCAAGCCTTATCCTGAATGAAATTGATTTTCTAAAGTAAGTAATCAGCTTTTCTAGTTTTACGTTTAATGACTCTCCCTTACAATTCATGGATTTGTGAAAATCTGAGGGGTACAAATATCCATCATACTGGTTATTCAAATGAACAGTAACATTATTCACTCGAATTTGATGGCTGCTATGTGCCGAAAATGCACAAGACATTATTCCAAAATTGAAGTTAATTTCTGAGCTGGAGAAAGGGATTTGAAATACGCTCCGCACATGTCAATTTAATATAATTTTGGCTTTGTTGGGTGAAGTCAAGAGACTGCCGTAAAGTTTAATGTTGTTGTAAACTGTCAAAAATAACCAATTATCATAATGGCACACTGGAGTAAGGTTTACTTAAAAAAAACTTTTCAAACTCTCGTTCAGTACCCGTTTCGCTGTGAAACACTTTGCATGTTCGTTGCTTACCGCTCCTTACTTCATATTTATAGAAAAAAATTTATTTTTATGTTTTTATTAGAAAACTGCAGCATCCCTACATTGTGACGTTTTATGGCATGTCGTTGCTTGACATCAAAGGCAAATTGAAGGTCATAATGGTCATGGAGCACTGCAAAGGAAACTTAAAGAATCACATCTTCAGAAATATCAACTTGGCCCCTGCAAATTCCAAAAATGTCGCTACCATAAGAGAAGGATGTCGGTGGGTGAGGGATATTTCCGCTGCTCTCGCCTTTATTCATCAACACGGAGTTGTTCACAGGGACCTTAAGTTGGAGAATATTTTGGTATGAAACTTAAAGGATGTTTACCATTTTAAAATTTTAAGTAGAGAGATTTGATGCATACGTGATTCTAGAATATTTTCAAAAGGAGAAAAAAAACAGAAAAAAAAGTCACCGGAGGTTGTTACAGCAAAGAGCCAACAAACTTTCATTAACACAGAAATCTTGAACATGAATTAATGACAATGAATGGTACCAAGTTGGCAATAATAAATTATTTTAGCCATGAAATCTATTTTTAACGGTCAGTACACTTATCAACAACGATACCCATCATCACAGTGGTCAAACGGCTGTGGACTCACAAGGTGCAGCCAAGTGAGCTCAAAACAAATTTGACCATTGTGACGATAAATATCGATGTCGATGAGAGTACTGACCACGCTAAACCACTGTCGATTTGCGTTTGTTTGTTTTTATTTATTTTTGTTTTTTAACCACAATATCGACATCAAATGAACGATTACTTCTGGTCGTGACACGTTGTGTGACACGTTCACGCGACCTCGTCGTCTGAATGTGCTCTTACCAACAATAGCAAATTGGTCGATCAGAATTCGCCATTGCTGCCAAATGTGGTAAAAATATAACTAGCGCACCTCACTCAAGTGTCGTTTATAGGAAGTTGACTAATCCTTAGCTAACCTATACTTAGACTATTGATGTCAATCTCGACACTGTGCTCCCTAACAGACTCAGCTAACACAGACTTTAAATCCACCCTGAGCATTATCGGAGATAACGTCTACCTGTATGCCTATGACAGGTCTGTTGTTAAAAAAGCTCGTTAGAGAGTCACGCTCGAGTAAATAGCCGCAATTAATTTGGATTTAAATATTCATTTTCTTTATTCAAGCTATCAGAAACGAATTCAGCGAAGATTACCGACGTCGGCGTCTCTAAAGGGGCAGACGACATCACAGGTACTATAGCGGGAACCCCACTCTACATGGCACCAGAAGTGTTTCATTCTCAGCTGTACGACAATAAAGCAGATATATACAGCCTGGGGATACTTATGTGGGAAATATGGTATAGGCGGCAGGTCTTCTGCGAGGTTGAAGTCAGGCCACCAACCATAGACGCCTTCTTCGCCTGGGTGGATAAAGGCAATCGTCCACAACACTTGGAAGGATGCTCTAAACCCCCAGGCGGCTGGCAATACATGATGAAAAGTTGCTGGGAAACAGACCCAAATAAACGCCCCACTGCTGAGTGGTGCAATAAAGAGGCCAATAATCTTTGTAAAATGTCCGTAAAAGAACTTTAGGTTTGAAACTATTTTATACTCAGATTGTTAGTCTCAGTCTTCTACTCTGCTCATCTTAAGTAATAATGTGCAATAATGTGCAATAATATCTAAAGTCTCACCCAGAAATCAAGAACAAAAAAAGTCCACTTTATTGGTAGGCTAGGAGGATATGAAGCTAAATATGGTTCTACAGAAGGAGGTCATCCAGTTTATCCTGGAATTGTCTAATTTTGTTTTGTTTTTCTTTTTATGAGAGGAATACCAGGAAAAATACATTAGGGAAGGGAAAGAGTATTCTTCTGCACCAACTCCCTTCGCTTACAAGCGGCAGCCATTTTGAGACAAAAATATCTGTCAGAGTTGACTTTGTCTTTTCTATTGGAGTAAGCTATAAACTAAATTGTAATTTGGACATCAATAAGTGAAGTTGGTTTGATACACGTGCTGTTTTTTATGCTCATTATTCCATTACAGAGAGTTACAATTTGGGTCAACCGATAGCCATGAAACGGAAAAAAAAAATTCGGGGGTAAAAATTGAAATGTAACCCTCAGTCGTAAAAAAAGTTAACCGTAAGAAATATTTCTGGTGATATAAACGAAATGATGTTAACCGTTCGTTGTAAAGTAGCCAACATTCTGACCGTTAGCCGTAAAAGCTATCGCGTTCGGATAAGGGGTGCTCAAAAATTTCATTTATTTACTTTGTAGTTCCATAATTGTTATTTTACATAGGAACTACACAGTGATCATCATTATCATCTACCGTACTATACAATAAAGAAGTGATCCAGTTGCAAACCTTCTTCTGAGGTGGACTTGAATTAAGGGAGCATGCCATCTTTGATGTCCATCGCATATTTATACGGAGTAACTATGAAATTCTCTACATGAAATTCTCTAATGAAACTCTCTACATTTTCGTTTTGTGAAATCGACGTTCTAGTAAAGACCTTGTTATTGCGAAGACGAGACGACTACTCATAAACTCAACTCAACCCTTTAGTCTCTACCTCGTGGTCCCCCTACATACCATAATCCTTTAGACTAGTGTCCAATCTCCTAACAGATCTTAAACAGGAGTCGCGTTGTTTTTCACAATCTGTCGCTTCGTGAGCAATAACACCGCTTTGTTTATTCACACCTGTTCGATCTGGAAACGCATGAAAGGAAGACAGTAAATAAAATAAGGCACTGTCGATAACAATGCTCCCCTTATACCTGTGGAATTGCTTTGGGGAATGTTCATATTTTGTTTTCTTATACATAGCGTAAATTTCGGAAACCTGATTTTCCGTCGCAGGCTGCCAAAAACTGGACTGGACTAAGAGAGAATAACTAGATATGTCCGGACAGCGCTTATAGCTATGTTAACTGTAAAAGTGAATGGGCTCTGTCACGGCTTCGTTCTATTTAACGTTTCAAAAACAACCAAATAGAGCAGTACAGTGGAATAGGTCAAACCACCTGCCAAAGTATGGTAGGCGACGATAGTCTTAATTCCTTTTAGTGAAAGTCATCCTTCCTCCACATTTCTATGGGCTACTTTTTTCATCAATTTGATGGTATTGTGGGGTTAATGATCTTGTTACCAATTTCAAATCAGATGACAATAAATTCTCTACGATGCACGAGCATGAGATCCCTGTAACTAAACCAACGTGGTAAGAGAATAAAAGTGACATGTTAAGGTGTAGCTCCGAAAGAGCCCAGAAATTTGTTCAAGAATGGGAAGACGAGAAACATCATTTTGCCAAAAGCCACGTTGCCCTAGTTCAACTTTTTATCGAGAAGTATGACACCATGGAAGAAGATCTAAGAAACGTAGAAGAAGGAGTTCTTTCTGGAAATCCAGTGCAGGACAATCGCAACGGCACATACTCCTGGCTACCAGCTATTCAACCGGAAATGCTCCCTAAAAAAACGCTACCAGGCAATGCTCCAGTATGGTTTCCACAAGGTTTGGTGTCAGTGGTATTAAGTACTCCTTTCATGCCTGCTCTAGCTAGGAACTTAAATAGGAATTTCCGACAAAAAAAGAAGCTGGAAGAGTTCAAAACTCATTCGAATTCATACAAAGAGAAGAAATCCAAGAAGTATCTGAGGATCATTACGAATGAGGATAGCTTGTTCTCTTTCATGATCATAACTGAGCGGTTGGAGGATGCCGTACAGTTCCTGGTTCAGATTAAAGCCAAGATCCCTCGACTTAAAAACGGTGATAAAAAGTTTTACCTACAAGTGTTCACAGTTCCTAGGAAGGCGCTCGAAATCCAGGGGGTCTAGATCTACCAACCTATCAATTCAAATGTGGACGCATCGAGGCGAGAAAAAAAAGTTTACAAAATCAGTTCCATGACAACGTCAGATTTCTCGACAGAGGAACCAATATGGAACCAAGACGATAGGTTTATTGTTGGAAAAGGAACCTTTTCCACAGTTTAAAGTGGTGTTCTCTTGCAAGAAGGACAACCAGGAACTAAAGTGGCGCTTAAGGTCTACGATAGCCCTCTTAGTAGCAGCAACATATGGCACTTTACCGCGTTTTGAGCAAAGACTTCGGTCTCCACCTTTAGGCATAAATACTATTCATTCTTTCTTCTCTATCGCTCTCAAATCACTATGGTTTTTCTGCAAAAATTGATTTCGAAATAGATTTGGTGGTAAATTTTTTTTAAAACAATTGAAACGCGGCCTAAAAACAACCTTTTAATCAATAATCCTTGACAAAAAGTAACTCAGAAAGTTACAACAAGAGGTGGTTGCAGCTAAGAATTACGTTAATCAATGTGACTCTCGTTCGTTAATATCTGAGTTCAGTTTTTCAACTCAATTTGTACGTTTGAGAAACGTTGAGCGAAGTTTTGGGTTCTTCTATAAATACAATTTCGCCTATTCTTGCAAATCCCTTTAATTTAGATATTTCTACCGTAAATTTCCCATCAGAAACCGGAGGAATTTGATGAATAAAAGTCGCATTAAATCCCCTTGTGTCGAGCTGGAAAGAGTCTCAATGACTTCAGTTTTTTACTCGAAGAAGGACAGATTTACACACACCACTGCAGAAAACGAACAAGCAGACGAACAACTCAAAACACGCATTTGCATTCACTTTAGCCTGCATAGCAAGCGTTCCCGTGCTGTTTACCGAGGAACGAGAGATTCTCGGTTTTGGCCGCGCGAGAATTGAAACGAGAGCCAAAAAATGAAAGAGCGGGAGGGGGAAGGGAAGGAAGGAAACGCTTGCGGACAAACCCCTCGATTTTTTAAAACCTGCTTTCGCCAGCGAACGCAACGCCTGATTGGCTTGGCGTCTTGACATGTGTCGATCAAAGATTTGCTCCGGTCTGATGAGAGCCAAAATCCAATATGGCGGAAGAGCTCGATGTACTGTTCGAAGATGCGTTAGAAAAAGCATTAAATTTTCTTTCGGAACGGGGATTCAGTCGCAATCTTCGACAGGAGCAAAAGTCCTCTGTGAAACAACTTTTTACAGGAGGAGATTTACCTGCCGTTCTCCCCACAGGATTTGGCAAAAGCTTAATTTTCCAGCTGTTAGCTTCTCCTGCACAAATTCCAAAGTTTTCCGTAAAGACTTTCCTTTGTTTGTTTTGGTCGCCGGCGATAGCGCTCGAACCGCTTTGCGGATCGGACTCTTTCCCTCTGGAGTGTCCAATAAGCGATTGTTTGCTGAAGTTGACTTTGTTGGAGTAACTGTAGCAAACTCGCTAACTTTACCTTGTAAAGATTGTTGGACGAATGAATACAGTGATTCAAGATTTCGAATCTTTCGAGCACAAGGATTACAAACGCGACTTGAAAACTTGTCACATTTCACCACCTCGAATCCAGCTCTCTGAAGATTTTGCGCTAAAATTTCACCCTTGCAGTCCTTCCTTTTAGACGGATTAAAAAGATTTACCTTAGAAATACCACTATTACCAAATTTAACTTTGAGGCCGCAATTACATAGCCTACACTGCTCGTTCATTGTCGTCTGCATAGCAAGCGTTTCCACACTGTTTGAATTAAGAGCAAAGAAAGACCGAGGAACGAGAAATTCTCGCTTTTTTCATTTCTCACGCGGAAACCGAGAACCAGTTGCTCTCAAACAGTATGGAAACGCTTGCTATGCAGACTAGTTCATTGGGATTCTCTAATCCTCCAGCGCGATGCTTAGGGAAAATTTTGACACTTTGTTCTGGTCCTACACGAGTCCTGAAAAGTTCACTTGTGCTCGGAAGGCCAAGCATTTTATTGGTCTATGTATGACAGCTGTTGACAGGATCAATTGCCGATTCGCGTGCTCAAGCACGACAAACAGAGTGGGTGGTTTTCAAAATCGAGGGGTTTGTCCACAAGCGTTTTCTTCCTTCCCTTCCCCCTACCCCTCTTTCACTTTTTGGCTCCCGTTTCAATTCTCGAGCGGCCAAAACCGAGAATCTCTCGTTCCTCGGTAAACAGCACGGAAACGCTTGCTATGCAGGCTACATTCACTTACAATTTGACTTTCCGTGACATTTTAATACGGAACAGGTAAATCTTCGAGGATTAATCGTCGTTGGAAATAAAAATTACCTTCCGTAAGATCTATGAGTATTCTTTGTTTTTGTTGTTCTTTTTTTTACGAGAAGACCGTCGCATTGTCACTTAACTCGTGTGTGTTTGTCACACCAGTAGTGTTGTTTATTCGCAGCGTAGGTTTTTTCTTATTCAATTGACAAGTGTCACATGGTGAAAGTTACTTTTCAGAAAATGTTTCAAAGTTTGCTCGGAAACCTTTTAAATTACATTTAAAAATTAACAATATTTCGGTGAAAGCTTTCTCTTTAATTTGAATAACGTCTGTATTCTTTATCATCCACTCGCTAACAAATTGTTAAGTATATGGAGGATTTTCCCTTAATTAAACTCGTAACTGTAGCCCTAAATCATTCGGGTTCCTTCAGCAATCATTTTGTNTATATATATATATATATATATTGTAAGGCAACTGTTTTTTTCCAAAGAAAATCCATAATTCACAGGAAGTATATATATTGCTTCCCACATTGTGCTGCATCTAGTGATGACCAATCAATGAAACTGATTATCGATACTAACCGATGGCAGTAAATGATTAACATCAGGCCGACGACAAATTGACATTGAAAAAAACCTGTATTGTATCACCAGCAGTAGTAGCTGACAATATTTAAGCATGATTATATACGATCAATATGTGTACTGCAAAAAGTTGATGACAATCACTGTAATCAAGTAATTTAATTTACATTTTTTGTATATTCATGCAGTGTGGTCTTTCATCATGCATGTTACAACAAACAAATCGTGTGGTTCCAGAAAATACCCATACTCACCAAAAGGATAGTCACTGGAAATTACGAAAGGGAGGGGGTCTCGAAAGCCAAAATTCCTAAGGAAAGCACTATGTATTGTAGTTTTCTGAAAATTCCATGAAATTCTTGTGAAAAACGCATGAAAATCATTTCATGGCCCATGAATACTTCAAAATTCAAGTTCATGGGGTTATTTTAAGCCTTGAGTTTTCCATGAATTAGGTGAGTTTTTCGCATGACCCATGAATCTCTTTTAGTCTACTTTCGTGACCCATGAATTTCCCCTGAAAGTCGCCAGATAGAATTCCATGACGACCCATTAATTTCTTTAAAAGCCAACTTTCATGACCCATGAATTTCCCCTGAAAGTCACCAGAATGAATTCCATGACTCATTAATTTCTTTAAAAGCCTACTTTCATAACCCATGAATTTCTTTTACTCTACTTTCATGACCCTTGAATTTCTTTCACTCTACCTTCATGGCCCATGAATCTCTTCAAGTTTACTTTCAAGACCTATGAATTTCCCCTGAAAGTCAGCAGAATGAATTCCATGACTCATTAATTTCTTTAAAAGCCTACTTCATAATCCATTTTTTTTACTCTACTTTGATGACCCATGAATTTCTTCTACTCTACTTTCATGACCCATGAATTTATTTAAGTCTACTTTCACGACCCATTAATTTCCCCTGAGAGTCACCAGAATGAATTCCATGACCCATTAA